TTAAACAAGGTGTTTTATTTAAGTTCAGATTGAAATATATCGAGAAATACGCATGATATAAAAGAAATGCTTAAAACTGAACTGCCTCCTCAGTATATTGCAGCAGGCAGTTTAACGCCGCAGAATTTAGCCCATTTCTCTCCACGTAAGGTGAAAGGCGAATTTGTAAATTCAAAAAGAAAGTCCAAATTTTTATAACATATTTTCAGTCTAAATCCAAGATTATGTAGCATTTATCTGAAACATTCTTTCGAATCATTTTTTATAGATTACTTATAGTTTTTTATGTTTAATTGCATAATGATTTTGGACTGGAGGTAAGAAACTCTGATGGCTAAATGTAGTTTGCGAATCAAAGTAGATGCCGCTGCAATAGGCCACTTTAAAGGTGAAATGCAAGTAAACACTCTTTTTCAACGTAAAAGCATTACGCTGAAAGAAATAGGTATTTTCCATTAAAAGAACGAATCTCCGCAGATTTCAGCGTTAATTATGATCATTGAGAAACCATATTGAGCCATTTTTCTTTCAATCTGGAATCATTATGCAATAAAACGTGCAGAAAAACTTATCTTCGCGAATTGCAGCGTTAGCTAATTTGCCTTCCACCCTACCACTATAGAAATGGGCTAAATTCGGCGGAGTTGAACCCCTTCCAAAATACTGAAAGTTTCTTTTAAGCATTTTTTCCTATCATACTTATTTCTCAAGATATTTTAGTCTGAAGTTAAATGGAATAACTTGTTTAACAATATAATAATAAATTCTATAGGAAAGGACATGCGCAATTGGCATTTGTTCATAATCACACGCGTTAAAATGCATTCACATCATTTCAAATAACTCATTTTAAAAAATAATATTTTTATTGCCTTCGCTCCGTATTTTAATTGAACTAATTCGTTTTACATGTTTTTTTTTATAAATTTATTGCAAATGTAAAACAACGATAATAAAGTTCGAAATTTATTTAGTGTTTTTAGTAATATTAAGTTAAATTCATTTTCTAAATTAACTTAGAAAAATAATTAGTACCGAGTGGTAATTTTTGTTTCTGTTAATAATTGTTCGTATTAAATGAAGTAGAAGTTAAAGCAAGTAAAGTTATAGCAACCGGCAAGAATTATGTTGCTGGCAACTTCACGAAATCAAAAATAGAAACACGTAAAAGTTAATTAATTTTCGTTTTCTCATATTTCCTTGATCGTTCTGATAAATTTTTAATTGTCAAACAAATCTCTACTAAATTCAAAATTTTGATTTCAGCTTTACTTTTAAAAAAACGAAACTTAGATTCGTAACTTTCTTCATTTTACTCATACATAATACAATAATTTCTGTAAAGATTCAATCTCTATCACATACAAAACGAATTTAAATAAAATAAATTTAGAAAATAATCGAAATAATCAATTACTTATGTTGATCATATTTAATTTAAAAGATTATTTCGATTGTATTAGAGTTGTTCAACTTTTACTTTACTTTAATTTTTTTTTTATTAAATTCTTTGAATATGTCAAATAACTTTTATAAGAATCATAATCAGACTGTATGAAGTTTTTGTCCTAGACTCATGAAGCAATGACAGTTTCTGTACCAATCCAAAACTACTCATATCTAATAAATTATATATTTTATACAAAACTTCAATCGAAAGAAGGAATACGATGTAATAACACCTGAAACAAAGTTGTGTTGTTTCCTGATAATTTGCATCCGCAGACTTTCACCGACACTGTCGATATAAAAATGTACACATGAACTTTTTATTTACGTGAGAACGTCAAAAATAACCTTAATATGATCATAAAATTCTTAACTGTCATATGGGCGGCCATAATTTTCAGATCTCGTGTCTTCAAGTATTCATATAGAATGTGACCTTAACACACTTTAACAAAGGTGTTCTTTTCAAACACGAGCAACGTGTTGTTGAATAGTAATGTTATTGCTGACGTAACAAGAGCTCATTACTTTCAGCGAGCAAGCAAAAAATGGCGATTTTCAACTCAGAAAACCTAAAACATTTCGCACGATTCCTTCAAACGTTACTACATTTTTGAGACCATAAGAGTTGTATTGTGAAACACTATGTGCATAGCATATTATCAAATAATAGTGCAACATATTGGGTCTTTTTTCAAAATTATTTTAAATCCATAATAAAGGTCCAAACGTTGTGTATTGCAGACACCTAGTATAATATTACAGCATGACAACGCACAATCAAACACACACGCCTCGTATGACCATGCAAAAAAATTTTGCATCTATATATAGAGCATATTATTCATTTTCCTATTAGAATAACCTTGCACAGTGATTATATCTTTGAAGCACTCAAAAGCATTGTCGGTGGCAGACAATTCAGTACAGTTGATGTGAAAGCAATAGTGTATGATTCCTTATGCAAATAATTAAAGAATGTTTCCTGTGCAATCCAAGCACTACAGGCATTGATTAACTCGGTTAATTAACAAAATTTTCTGCCGCGTATAAGATATTGTCTCAATTAATTTTGCGTGTTAATCAAATCCCGCATTAAGCAATGGATACCTGTAATATAATTCTATTCTAGAATAAAGTATAATACAGTGGAGTGCCGTGACATTTAATGATAGGGAAGATGTGTTTCTGTAAGAAGCCGACTTCCAGGGGCAATCAGCTAATTGCGCAGCAGTGATGGTCTAGGGCAGCGGACGGCAACCTAAATGCATTTGCCTGCCACAAGACACGTAATTGAAAATACTGTACACTACGATGCCATTAAAAATGAAATTATAAAATTTATTGCACGTTAACACATTTTTATTTAACTATAAAATACACACTATATAAAAATATTATTAAAAAATTACAATATTTAAACATTAGTGACTCCCTTGTAGTTCAATTTTAGAAACGAACACATCAAAATTTGGTTCATAGTTTGAAGTTTTTAATTTTATGCACAATTGGCGTGTCACTCAAAATTCTTTCGGGTGTAACTAGGTGACACTCCTGGCATAAATTGCCAACAAGCTGTGTATAAGAAGGTCAGGACACGCTCCCGGCAGCGGCCATTTTGGGTCTCATCGGTAGACTACACTCCACACGTAGTTCCTGCATGAGTCGACTATTATTAGGTATATAAGTATTGAAAACTTTAAACAATGGGTTATTGTGTGTCACCAAATTGTAAAATAAATCTACAGACGTTCGATTGATTATATTTCCTTCAAATAAGCGGAGGAAAGCAAAATGTAGCGTAGACATCAACGGATGGTTCACGATGCAGTTTAAACAGTTTATATATGTAAAGTTTGTAACAAGTGGTTTAAACGAGTGCATACTCTTCGTGTCCACGAACGAACTATACACGGAAATTTATAAATGATATTGGCAATCCAGATATAAAATAAATGTCATTTTATCATTTTTCTATGTGATGAAAAAAGAATTATTAAACATATAATTGTTTTAATATGACCATATTGTATTTAAAAATAACATCATGATGGTATTGACTTATACTCTCAATGTTCATTAATAAAATATCTCAAAACATTTAGTTTTATAGTAATTTAAGTCGGTAGATTAACTGGTCTTTCGACTAATAGTTCAAACTTAGCTAGAGACAATATTTGCCGCCACTGTTAGCAGGAGAGCGTTGTTCTTGCTACGTATGTACTGAATTTGACCAATAATAATTGTTTTTTTAGCTACATAAAAATGCCAACGTGCTTTGTGCCAGGATGCGAGACAGGATATAAGTCATCGAACGAGAAGAGACATTTATTTCGTGTTCCTAGCGATAATATTGAGGAGTGGCTGCGATGCATTCCACGAGAAGACAAGATGCTAACAAATAAATGTTACGTTTGTGACGTACATTTTGCGAGTAGATTTATTATAAAAACCTTTTCCCATGTTATAAATGGAGAGAAAGTAGAAATTCTACGAGATCGCAGGGTATTAACGTCGGATGCATATCCATCAAACTTCCCTAATTGTCCTAAGTACATTAGAATCTTTTGCCCTTGCCTGAGTCGCACCCTGTCTTTTGCACCTGAGTCGCACCACTCTCGGACCCTGTGTTTTAACATAAAATTAAATTTTATCTATATTTAAGGAACATTTTATATTTAAAAAAATGTTAACTAAAGATTGAGCTGGGTTTGTGAGATTCACTGTGATTCACTATCTCTCTGTGGCCCATCTTTCCTTATAAATACTTTAAGATTAATTGTCTGATACTCTGTAAGGTAAAAAATTCCATTCAGGTAATTTTGAACTAAAGAATACAAAATATACAGGGTGCTGTCAACAAAAAAATTGCAGGAATAAATTAAAAATCAAATAACACAATGTATACTCGTATAACCAAACACACCAAAAATAAAGCAAAGAAAGCACCGAAAACACATAAGCTCAACACCAAGAGATGACTTGGGCACACAACAGATTGCATTTTCAGTGAAAAAATGTGCATGCTTCAAGCACAGTTTTTCACTGTGCATGCAGTTTGAACTCCAAAGCAAATTATTGTCAAATTTAGCATTCAAAGTACAAGGTACAGTACCACTGTATATGTATCTTTTGTTTTTATAAACTATTAAGAAAATAATCTTGTACAGTTGGTAATTAATTTTCTTTTGTCCAGAAAGAGGAAATTTTATGGAAGATGAGTTTCTCAACATGATGCTTCAGATCTTTTCTTGCAATCTTTATGAATTTTTTCAGCATTCTTGAGGCTCCCATACAAGAAATCTCTCAATCACTAAATCATTTAATACAGATCAAAAGAAATAATGGATGATACACAAAAAGTTATAATGAACTGATAGTTGCAACTGAAAATAATTATTATATAATGGAAAATGAATCAAATTTATTGTATTAATCTAGTTATTTATGTGTTATTTGTGTCTATTTAATATAAACATTTTTTATACACCTAAAATTTCTATATCAGTTTCTTCAATTACTGATTTGCAAACTACTATTGGTTTAGAGGCTTTTTAATGTATCTACACATGCCCATTTCAAGTGGTTTTTGTCAAAAATCAGAAACTACACTGCTCTTGCTTTGTGCACTGCTGGAGGCAGCACCATTTTATCGGTCTGTAGTCTTCTTGCACGTCAACAGTGTTGTCAGTCGCAATTACTATTGCCTCTGACTTTACTCATCTTTCCAACTGTTAATCGTGCTTCTCTGGTTTTCTATTGAACGCACCATTTAATTTCTGTATTGTCAGTAACGATCATTACTATTTGATAGTACCAGGACAACACAAATACTGAGAAGTTATTTTGGTATAAATTTATTAAAATTTAAAAACCACATTTGGCGTTTTCCATCAACACGCCTTGGTTTTGATCACGATTCAACAAAGAATTTAACCCGGGTTGAAAGAAGAGATGATCTTCTGCCCGACATCCGGATCAACAGGGTCTTCGGGCCAATTTGTCCATATCGTCATTAATGATCGTTTTCATTAGAAAGAGGGCAAATTTCGGGGACGGCAGTCGCATCTTCCCACGATTTCTCTCACGTGCCTTCTACTAACCCGGTCTCATTTGAGTCCCGTCCGGTGAATGAGAGCCCTGAGACCGATGTCGTAATGAGACGGAAGCTAAAAAAAAACACAAAAACGATAAGATTTTGTGAAAACCTATTGTAATTTTCTTGAAATTAAGCTTTTTAAAATAAAATCTCAACATATGGCACTACCACAATTTTAATTTTTGTTTTTGGCCGGAAAAGTTATGAGCATTATTTATTTATTTTAATTTTGATATATTTGTGAAAAGCAATACCCATTTACCGTCACCTTAATTATGCAAATTAGCTACTATTTTGGAAAAGGCTGAAATATAGATTCAGTAATCATGCAGCTTACTAATAACGATAAAAATTGAAACCTGTTTTACCTACCAATTTTTATTTATATGATACTTTTAATATAGAAACAATATAAAATAGGGAAACATAAATAAATGATTTAAAAGTGTATGGAACTTGCAAGATACTGGAAATTTTTATAAAAGAATTTTTAACAGTAAATTTACATTGAATTTCTTTCCTTTTAATACCTAGTGTGCCTTTCATCAAAAATTCCTGAAATTTTGCAGGTAGGTTTGTGTATTCGGAGGATTGATATATTCGGATATGGAAGGTTTCTGTACCTCACATTTATAAGTTCATACACATGCGTGAATGAACTTGTAAAACTTAAGTTGCGTGCTAAAAATGTAAATTGGCTCTGCGATCTGAGTCTCTTTCTTCAGAACAAAGACAACTATCTCCTACTGAAAAACCTTATCAAGTGGTATTTTGAAAGGACTTGCATCCGGTATTCAGGTTTATGTGCCGCAATGTTGTCATACGTGTCTGGTGATTGTTTCGTGTCTTCTGTCCTTCTGTTCACATGCGATATACCAAACGTCAAATTTGTTCTACTTGCTGGGTCATGACTCAACATGGTTCGTGACCCAGGTTCTGTAAGTCATCGTTTGCCACAAGAACGTGGCATAACACCTGGCCGTTTCTATGTTAATTTAGCAATCTTGCCATTTATAAGCCAAAAGGCCACTCTGTACTTTACCCAACTGTGCCTCGCAATGTCAGGAAAGAAATAAAGATTATTTGTTTGAATGATTCTTATACCTGCGCATGTATTTGCATATGGAGGTGAGAACACTGGAAATTTTAGTTTTTTAATAAAATAAAAGGAATGCTCACCTTTGCGCCGATTCGACTCAAAAACCTGTTTCGGATAGAAAAGTCCGAATGCGTCCAGAGAAGATCGTGAGGAGTGACGTCAGACATCAATCCCGACGCCAGAAGTCTCTCCCTATCTATGGCTTCGGCATTTCTATAAAATTTCAAGAGATACAATTAAATTATTATTATTATTATTATTATTTCTACTGTAAATTATTTAAAATTAATTAATTATGCTACATTATTTTATATTCTTGCATATTAAAGACACATAAGATTAAAAAAAAATTCTTCAAGAAAGTCATGTGACTAGACACCAAACACGGTATTACAACGATCATGTGATTTACATTTTGGGTTTAAAGCCAGTGGCGTCACTAGATTTGATTTCAATTTACCTTGCTGTTTGGCAATTTCCTAAATATTTTCTGATAAGATAGAAATTATCAGATGATAAATATTAAATCATATTTAAATTTAGATGTAACAAATGGTTAGATGCAGTTTTTTTTTTAAAATATACACAGAGATAGGTATAATGTCATTTGTTCAAAACAATGGAAAAAAATTTGTATTGCGCAATTTCTGGAATAGTGTTTAACTTTAACTGAAATATTATTTCCATTTTGAACGAGTTTCTTTCTAACATAAAAAGATTTGCTCTGTTCTGAAGAATTTTTCCACTCAGACAGGTTTCCATTTTATTCGGGTTCTGTTTCGGACAAGTTTCACTATATTAAACTTATTATGCAGACACTTTTTGGGAGAATTTAAAAACAAATATATATTTTGTAATTACAACAAAGTGTATTTTGTATGTTACACCTCTCTTATCAGTTCTCATATACAAGTACCTGGTAATATAAATGTTAATGGCTGTCCATAAATTACGTCAGCATTTTTCTTGGGAGAGGGAGAGTAAAAATTTCTCAAGTTTCCGTAATCTCCTCCACTCTTTAGATGTGTAATAAAACTCAACCCCCTTTAAATTTTGAAATAAATATAATAAAATGTATAAAATTTAATAAAATAAAATGGGCGTCCTCTGAACTCCTTCCCCTTTGTCTGATTTGTCATAATCTCCCTTCCAGTGTGAACGTCATTTATGGACAGCTGCTTACATTATTAAACATTTATTGTGACTTCCTCACAGTGCCGGGCTGCAATTGATTTTCAAGATTAGATATAATGGTACGTACCTGTGGTACAGAGGGAGACATGATAAACTATCTAGAAGACAATACACAGTAAGACTTCTCACTGTGTACTGTCTTCTATGGGAAGCAGTTTAGAGGTTTCCCTGAAGCTGCAGTCAGGAAATTAAACAGAATCCTGTTTCACAATTTTTATGGATTGCAACTCAATAATTAATAAATGGCTAAATAAATATAAACCGAAAAATAGGACCAAATTTTCTGTATATTAGATTACATCCCAACAGTATTTGAGAGGACCAAGAAGATACTTAAAAACTGTTTATTATTATACATTAAAACCTGTCCAAAGTGGAACCTGAATAAAACAGAAACCTGTCACTGCCAATTCATGTAATTGTATTTAATTACTGGTAAGGGTTCTGTTATTCTAGTCTTAGTTTATCCTACGTAACGACTGCATTTGAATCTATACATTACATTATTATTTTCTAAAATAGGATTTCCAGTTTTTTAAATTTATCTGTGAGCTAATACAGTGGAACCTGTGTAAACCAGACTAGTACTGTACCAAATATTTTTCCATTTTACACAGGTAATTTGTAACAGAAAATCACCATGTTCATAAGAAATTTTCCCGTTTAGGCAAGTTCCCTTTTGAACAAGTTTTACCGTGGTGTAAAAAGGAAAATGACACGAACATTTAGAGATCACAAAGGTTCCTTTATACAGCAGAATAAATTTAAACGAAATGAAAATTGAAGGCACCAGGCAACCAAGTTCTAATACACAAGTAAAGTTATAAATACAGCCATATATCACTTTAGTAAAATTACCCTTTCCATTCTAAGCTGAATGCTTTGTAGTGAATGTTATTGGGCTGCAATCAAAAAACTTTCCCCTGAAAGGTATTAGGTGACCAGCTCTCTATTGTTAAAGGTAAAATATAAGAAACAGAGGCAAGCCACTACTAATTTCAGGTGGAGAAATATATATTTTAAATTAAATCTATTCAGAATCTTTATCTGAGGTAGTTTTTCTTTAATTTCAATTCTTTTCATACATATAATTTTAACTTATACAGGTGAATATATGTATATGTATATGTATACAGGCTAATTTCAGTTGCCAGTTTATAGATAAATGTAAATAAAAAGACCAAGTGAGGACAACCACTACTGAAAGGCACAGATGGAATATATGGAAATTTTGTTAACTCCAAAATAAAAGAATTAAAATCACTAAAAAGGCAGGTAATGCAAAATAAAAAAAACCCAATAAATTGAACATATACAACTAAAGCACAGGTATTTACAGAATGAATTAACCTTGGATGAATGCACGGTGTTGGTCTACAAAAGATAATAAATATTTAAGTGAAACAATCTTAATTGTTAAACAATGATCATTGAGCACCAAATCTCTGACTTGATGGTGTGATGTTCACCAGTTGAAGTTGATGGTCTACCAGACTGTGGTTCATCTTTGACACATTCTCTGCCTTCCTTGAACATATTGTACCACTAGAAAACGCTCGTTTTTGATAAACTAACATCACCAAAGAGTTTTTGCAACATTTCCAACATTTTTGTAGCAGAAATTACATTATGAAAACAAAATTTAATGCATATTCTTTGCTCAATTGCATTTGACATTTTGAAAAATTGCTGGTGCATAAATTCTTTACACACAAAATGAGTGTTTATTTGAAAACAAAAATTGACAATGATATACAGATTGCGGCTAGATATTGATGAAAGTTGTATCAAAGAAGAGAAGAAATGAAACAGTGTCCTCTCGCGTATACACAGTTTAAATGAACAGTTCCTCATACTTTTTGATCCAGTAGTATTCTTGCCCAATATTTCTCCTTTCTTTTTTAATATTTACTTTGTATGATCCATTTCATCTTTTAAAATCAATTAGAAATGCAATTTTAAGAAATATGAGCAATTATTTATTGTGACAATTAAAAGTTGCAGCTTGGTATTGTGACTATTTTTTTAATTAAAAAATAATAACTTGACTTCCAGTCCAAGATGGAAATTCATATATAGTTAATCAGGGCCTCCAGCCCTTCTGTTTATTCCTCGAGTTATTCTTTGCATTCATGTACAGTTGTTGATTGAGCAATTCTCCTATATAGGAGGATTTGTATTCAAATCTAAATCCGAGAAATGATTTACTGTTCCATCAATGCTGCCAATAGACTTTGTGGTTAGTTCTAGCTGACCACAATAAACAAACTTAAAAAGTGAACAGTAAAACTCTAAGCTGATGTTATGAGAAATAAATCAAAAACCCTATCACACACGCATATTCACTATTTCCAGATAATCTCCATTAATACATATATGAAGAGATGCATTAAAGTAGACCAGAACACACAATTTGTATAAACGCAGTTTTTATTCTTTTTACTTTAAACCAGTCTTCAATAAGGTGTTCCTCAAAAATTATTTAAGCTTTTAAATTAAAAACAAAACTTTGTATTGATAGTTAAAATAAATAAAAGAAATAAATTTAACTGTTTCTTTTCATGGGGATGAAAATGCCACATAACAGTATTGTCCTAATGCTTGGTTGACAGGCAATGAGTAATGTTGCCGTATTCAGTGATCACCCACAACCATAACCTTTTGAAACTAATAATGCAATTTTTAATGAACAGGTTTAGATACTTGGGTGTTTGGCTTGACTCTGAGTACAGAAGTGGGAAAAAAATCAAGAGGAAAATTGGAATGGCAAAAGAGACATTTAGCAAAATGAAAACAATTCTGTGTGAACCTCTGAAATTAGAATTGAGAAAAAGGCTGGTCAAATGCTACATCTGGAGTGTTTTCCTTTAAGGTGATGAAACTTGAACCTTGAGACAATGTGACATTAGGAGAATAGAGGCCCTGGAAATATGGCTGTGAAGAATAGAGAAAGTCAGATGGGGTGATAAGGTGAGAAATGAGGAAGTCCTAAGAAGAGTGGGTGAAAAAAAGGAGCATATTAGAGACAATAAAGAGTTGAAAAACTAATTCAATGGGACACATGATTTGAGAGGAAGGCTTATGGAAGGAATGGTTGCAGGCAGAAAGAAATGAGAGAGAAGAAGAATTAAAACAGTGGATGACTTAAAAGAGGGTAGTTATAAAGGAGCTAAAGACAAGAGTGCAGGATAAGAGTAGAATGGAAAAAGAGGCAGTGCTCATTAGTTTTCTGCTAGTTATAGCAGGTTCAAAGACAAAGAACTCAATTTTGACGAAAACTATTCTAATGATAAAGCAGGACAAACTATACATGTTTTAAAATTTAACTCTTTCTGCCTTGTGGGCACTAAGAGAGCCATTTTAGCAAGCCTATCATGGGTTTGGTCAGGTCCGCAATGGAGTGGCAGATGGTGAGAGATGGGGCTCGGTATATCTGAATGGACCATCCCAAGAAGTTCATGGGATTTTTTGACATCCAGATTTGGTCCCGGGTCTCCAGAGCAGTAGGTGGCCACCTTAACTATTATTAGTGTTAACATTAGTGCCACTTGGTAAACAACTGTCTGGCAGTCTATCAAGATGCTCTAATATTAACACCTGTTAATCCAAATGAGAAGGTAATCCGTTCAGAAATATGGAAAGATAAATAATTAAAAAGATTGACAATTAAGATAATTTTTATTATTATATAAAATTTGGTTTTACGTAGATAGATACGATATTTGACCAATAAAAGGATGTAAAAGTAACAAACTTTTACAGAAAAAATTAATAGTGATATTTATTTTAAATAGTGATATTTATTTTAAGCATTGCTCCTTGCACAGAGAAGCATCTATTACCCATAAAATTGCAGAATATTTTGAAGAATGTTACCATGGAAAAGTATATTAGAACAAAACCTGTAAATATTTGATTTTTAAGCAACTTTGCTTATCAGTGAAAGCACATTATGCTTATTTTTGCAGTATGAAATGAAGGTGGCTGTCAAAAAGTGTTTTCTGGTGTAATTGAATTGA